ATTGAGCCATGCAGGGCCAGGCCTGCTGGAAAACAGGAGCCCCCTCCAGAGGCACACGGGTGGGGTCTAAAGGACCACCCTAGGGACCGACTTTCCTTTTTCGGGGTGCATGCCCCACCCCCGCTCAGAGGCCCCGCCCATGCTCCGCCCCTTTCCCCAAGACCCCGCCCTCGCTCTGCCTCTCCCCGCCCCCTCCTCCCAGCACCTCCTGCCTGCTGCCAAACGGCTGACTGGGAGGTGGGTACCGAGTGGCCACTATTTTTCCCCACGCAAGGGAGAGAGCTTGGAGTCATTGGGGCTTGTTCTCGGAAAACACCCAGCCCGGGTGCAGCGGCCGTCAGGAAAGCAAACGGACCGTTGGGACACCTTAGGAAAGCGACAGAGAACAAGGCAGAGCTTATTGCTGCAGTCGCCCAGTGTTTCTCACCCCGCGGTACGAGCACCTTCAGGGGTCCCCGAGAGACGTCAACACCACTGACTTTTGGAGAAAGCTGACTGTTTGTTGTAAGTTTCACAGCGCTTTATTCTTTTTGTACGTTTTACACCCCAAAATGTCATCGCCCGCCCGGCTACAATTAAGTTGTTTAAACAAAATGTGTTGCCACGGTAGGAAAAACATGGTGGCTGAAAACTGTAGGTACTGGGAGGGGGGTGCTTAATTTTGGTTGTTGTTTTTGAACAAGGGGTACGTTATAACAAAAGGTGGAGAAACACTGCTGTATACATCCCTGGGTCGCCCCTACTGGGAATACTGGGTGCAGATCTGGTCACTCCATCTCTCAAAAAAACCGACACAAAACCACAAAAACTCACGTTGGAAAAGAGAAAGGTGCAGGGACGGGAAACTCAAAGGGTGGGAGGTTTGGAACAGCTGATGTGTGGGCCCGTTTCACGTGGAGCATCCTGGGGCACCCTCTGTGAAGCCGGGGTGCTAGAGGGTCTCAACACCCCAGTGGTCAGCGTTGAATCCAGGGCAGCAAACCAGTGGGGAGGAGAATATGATGGGGGTGGTCTACAATCCTGCCTACTATGGAGAAAGTGAATGAGGAAGTGTTATTTACCCCCTTCTCAAAAACACAAGAACCAAGGATCATCCACTGCCATTAACAGGCAGAAGGGTTAAAACAAACAGATGGAAATAGTGCCTCAATCAATACACAGTCAACCTGTGGAACTCCTTGCCAGGGGAAATTGTGAAGGCCAAGTTTATGAACAGGACACAAACAAGAACTAGAGAAGCTCCTGGAGGACTGGTCCATCAGTGGCTGTTAGCAATGTTCCTAAGCTTTTCCACCCACATGTGGAATAAGTTTTGTTACATGCACCAAGGCATGTGGGAATGTGCACCACCACAAGAAACACAAAACCTAGCGGTGGGCAGTCTGCGCATCAGCTGGGCAGTAGTTGGATCGCGCCTGCACAAGTGTGTATCTTCCAGGATGTGATGAAGTGGGGCCCGTGCTCGCTCTGTTCGCTTCTTTTTTTATGTTGCATGTGATTTCTGCAGTAACCCCATGTGTGTGTGCCTCAGTTTCCCTGGGCACTGCACCAATAGCGAGAGGGTGATGGGACAGTCTCCCGCCTGTGCGCAACGGCTGATACTCTCTGTCACGTGAGCCTGGACGGTGGCGGAGGGGGAGGGTGACCACGTGACATCTTTCGCCCAGGAAGCTGGGAGGTGGGGCTGGCTGCAGGGAAGATGGGCTGCTGGGTGCATGAGTGAGTCTGGCTGGTGTGGGGTGCAGAGATGGGGGGCAGGGCCGTGGCTCTGGGCCCCCTTCCCCCCAAGCTGGATGGGTCTGGCTGCTCCTGCTCCCAGTGCTGACAAGTCTGTTCTACGCTGTGTCCCTAAACCTTCCGCCCTACCAGCCGCCTGAGAATCCCCTCTAGCTGCAGCAGGGGCCTGACGCACGGCCGTGTGCTGGGGGTCCTGGGCATGGACACGGGTGGGGGAGAATCCCTCGCTCATTGCCCTGTTCGGCTCATCCCCTTTCAAGCTGCCCAGCTGCTCCCAGACCCCAGGACCGGGGGAGGGGGGCGCTGGCCCCCTAAACCTTCCGCCCTACCAGCCGCCTGAGAATCCCCTCTAGCTGCAGCAGGGGCCTGACGCACGGCCGTGTGCTGGGGGTCCTGGGCATGGACACGGGTGGGGGAGAATCCCTCGCTCATTGCCCTGTTCGGCTCATCCCCTTTCAAGCTGCCCAGCTGCTCCCAGACCCCAGGACCGGGGGAGGGGGGCGCTGGCCCACCCCCACGCCAG